TCTGCTTCAGTGTGGGCCCGTTGCCCCTTGTCCTGTCGCTGGGCACCCCTGAACAGAGTCTGGCCCCGTCCTCCTGACCCCCACCCTGCAGATATTTAGAGGCATTTCTAAGGTCCCCTCACAGCCTTCTCTTCTCCAGGCTGAACAAGCCCAGCTCCCTCAGCCTCTCCTCGTAGGAGAGATGCTCCAGTCCCCTCATCATCCTCGTAGCCCTCCACTGGACTCTCTCCAGTAGCTCCTCATTTCTTGAACTGGGGAGCCCAGAACTGGACAGAGTACTCCAGACGGGGCCTCACCAGGGCAGAGCAGAGGGGGAGGAGAACCTCCCTGGACCCGCTGGTCCTTTGCTGGCACAGGGCGAGGATGCCATTGCCTCTTGCTGCCTCCCAGGAAGCAGGTGGTTAAGCCAGGTCCTTCTCCAGAGATGCCAAGGGTGCATCTGAGGTGTAGGGGTGCCAAGACAACCTTGCCAGAGCCACCCACCCCAAAGCCACGTGCCTGAGAACAAGGGTCTGCTGGTAACCTCAGCACCAGCTCCATCACGCCGGAACCATGCAGAGCAGACAGCATGAGGCTGTGGGGAAGGGCAGCACCGACAGCAGGGTCGGTAAAGCCTGGGACCCAGAGAAAGCTTCCTCCGAAGGGAGGATGCCCTGGAAGGCAGCACCCACTTTGCCCTCGGGCACCACACTACCATCCACGTTGGCTCCATCACAGTCTCTCCTGGGTGGCTGAGCCCTGCCACCCTTGGAGATCAGCTGGATGAGGCAGGATACGTGCTCGGCACCTTCACCCCACACAAGGACCGGGAGGGAAGAGGCTGGGATACAGCATGGTCCAAAGGGAGCTGACAAACCCACGGCCAGCCCTCTCGCCTGCTCCGTGCCCCTTCCCACTCCAGGCTGCCCGTTCTGCTTACTGCAAGCGTGAACTGGAGAAAGGTCTGTCACTAGCTCCACACCACAGCAGGTCCAGCTTCTGAGCAAGGGAGCTGCCTCCAACCCCACCACAGACACGGAGGAGCAGCCCCGGGGCTCCGGAAAGCGCTTGCTCTGCCCAAGACCCCTCTGCTCCAGCCTTTGTGAGTCCTCCACGACACAACATGCCTTCTGCTAGCCAGCGAGAGAAAGCAAAGTCAAGGAACGGAGAAGAACCTCCTCACCTGTCCCAGCATGGGACAGACCGTCCCACACCGCTTTATTCCTTGCCTTCTACGCAAAGCAGCCGAACCGCGTGGCTGGCGTCTCTCACGCAGACGCGTGGATACCACATCCACTCATCGGAGCAGCCAGCACCGACCAGGTCAGCAGCCGAAATGCTAATGTG